TAGTAAGTTTCTCAGGACAAAAATTTGAAGCTCCAGGAAATTATTCCGGCCGCTCACACGTGAAAGTACTGCCAGGAAGAGAGTGCTCGGAATTATTTCCCGTTAGCCCTTAGTCGATTGCCTCCATGCCGCAGTATGCCGAAAGTATGGGGTTCATATCCTTTGATATGAGAATCGATTTGTAGAATACCGTCACGCTTCCGTTTTTCTGCGAAAGCTACGTCACTTTATATCTCGTAGATGGAGAGGACGTGATTGCGTGCTTTACCTGGACATGAAACAAGCTGTGCTTCTGAAGGGTGGTTGCCGTTTTGGTGCATTTGTGATCATGTCTTCTTCCGAAATGACAGGTTACTCAAAACATCCCACGAAAGAACGCATCGTAGACTAATGGTAAGTTCACATGAAGTTTGTAGCCACGCCCTCCTCATATGCGGGATCCGAAGTGTACTGTACATCAGTAGTACCGTCCCATCAGCGCCATCTGTCGCGGCTAAACACAGCCTTGGATTGTAGCAGTGAACATACTGTAATTACCTTGAAAGTAAGTGGGCATGAGAGGTCATGGACTGGAGCGGATCCAGGGCGGCCTTTCCCATCACATGATGCCGTCCTTACCAGGGAAGATCAACAGGTCGCCATGGCCATTCAAGATGAGATGCATATCGACGTGTAGGTCTTGGGGCGCTTAACTCAAATCTGGTTCCAAAATTTGCCGAACGATTCTGTATAAGGAGTTAGGGGGGTGGCGGGTTTAGCATAGCACTCGCCGATCCTGCTTTCGTAACTCAAGTTCGAGTACATACAGTCTCAAGTGGTCGGTGGTGTAGTGGATAGATAAGTTGCTTCATAGGCGGGAGGTCATGGGTTAGATTCCTTGACAGGCTCACGCTTTTGCATTTTTTCGGAACATCTTCTGCGAATTCAGAAAATACTTTTATCCGTTTCTTTGTCAACCTTGCTCTTACTTGCAGCGGAAAAGACTCAATTGCCGGCAATTCTGCTTCGCCTTGGAGAGTTTTAGGCAGTGTTTACCCTTTACTGCCAAATCACCCGAAAGCAGGCCAGTTTTTGTCCGACTTTTTTTCGTGAGCAGAATTGGCTGAAAAGTTGCCTACTAGGGTAGTCTGCCCATCTGAACATGATTATCACATCCGCTCGGCACGAAACCTCCTCGCACTCGTGTCACAGGCGCCAGCGCCAAAACACCCTGCATCATCAAGTTCGCTGAAAACTTGTCAACTGGGGTAGTTTGAACCCCTAGACACGAATAGCACACCCGTACAGTCTGAAACCGCCTTACGCATACGCCACAAGCGATCCATCACAGGCTTGTTCCGACTCCGGCGCGTGTAGCACAGACCCAGTCGCTTTCTTGCGAGGCTCTGTGCTAGGGCAGTTGGCAAATCGGCCGAAGTAACGCACCACTCTTCCTGGTTGACTGTCATAGAAATCCTTCCCTTTGCTGAGGTTCAGCCTGCAGAAAAAGGGCCCCATCTCAGGGGAGGGTGCAGACGCAGGTTGCGCAATCACATTACCCCTTTTTCTCTATCCCAAACATTCTCAACGCCCTATACAGATGTGATGTTCGTGTCCAGGAGGTCAAACTATCCCAGTAGGCAAGTTTACAGCGAACTTGGTGATCCAGGGTATTTTAGCGCTGGCGCCTGTGACACGGGTGCGAGGAGGTTCCGTGCTGAGCGGATGTGATAATCATGTTCAGATGGGCAGACTACCCTTGTAGGCAACTTTTCAGCCAATCTGCTCACAAAGAAAAAAGTCGGACAGAAATGGCCTGCTTTCGGGTGATTTGGGCAGTGAAGGGTAAACACTGCCTAAAACTCTCCAAGGCGAAGCAGAATTGCCGGCGAACGAGTCTTTTTCTGCTGCAAGTAAGAGCAAGGTTGACAAAGAAAAGGATAAAAGTATTTTCTGAATTCGCAGAAGATGTTCCGAAAAAATGCAAAAGTGCGAGCCTGTCAAGGAATCGAACCCCATGACCTGCCGCCTATGAAACAACTTATCTATCCACTACACTACCGACCACTTAAGACTGTCTGAACTCGAACTTAACTTGAGCTACGCAAAGGAGGATCGGCGAGTGCTATGCTAAACCCACCACCCCCCTAACTCCTCATACAGAAGCGTTCGGCAAATTTTGGAAGCAGATTTGAGTTCAGCGTCCCAAGACCTACACGTCGATATGCATCTTATCTTGAATGGCCGTGGCGACCTGTTGACCTTCCTGGTTAGCTCCCAACAATTGATGAAGAAGGTTTCATTGGATAGCTGCGCTCTAATCACGACTCTTCATACGTCATCTTCTTGCATGTATAGACTTTACTTGGCATCGGTGAATATCATACCGATGTACAACTCCTTAAATTAACGCTCAACTAAAAATGACATTGGTCGGGCGTGTCTACATTTGTTGTGAAGACGGCGGTTGTAGACGTGATGGGTTCGGCAGAAGGAGCGAGAGGTTCATCGTTTTTTTTTGTGCTTTTCTCTCGTATGTGCGAACGCAGCCTATGCAGCACAGAAACCGTCTATCCATATGTACATATGTATGTCATCGGTTTCGAGTCGCGAAATCGCATCTACTAGTAGCGGCGTGTAGGTTTTGGCTCTGCGCGAGTCCCTTTTCCACACTCATATGCCCGAAGCTGCAACGATCAGTGGAAAACGGGCTGTCGCCGCGCAAAGTAAAAACCCACGAGCCACTGACACGCCCCGAGTGATAAGTGATAACGACCTTAATAAACACACAGAGGAAGCCAACACATCTCAGCGCTGCGATAATAAGTAGATTGGGTCCTAACAACGCCATTTTGTCCGCTCAACGCGATACGGAACCAACGACATACTGTCACTTGGTTCGACATAGCGCAACATATCCACGACAAGTCGTGGTGCACAACCGACATCGCTAATAATACTCCATCGCGACATGTGCATCGTCCCACACCACCGTACCTGCCTTCGTTGAAAAACTCACCCATGCGCGTTGCGGCACGAATTTTTGACGTCAGCGGCGGCAGCGCGAAGCTAAAGGCGATGGTCTGCGCCTCCGCCACTGTGCTTCAATCAGCAGCTGCTTTTATGTGGAAGGAAAAAGAGGGGGAAAAGGCTCCGTGTACAAACTCACCTGTGCGCGTATGCGGCGCGGTTTCTTCACGGCACCGCGGCGAAGGGTGATCGCTTGCCCCCACTGTGCTTCGATCAGAAGCCCCTTTCATGCCCCATTATGTGGAAGGAGGAGGAGAGAAAAGAGGATTGAACAAATAGTGAACACTCACAAGTGAGTTAGTGGTAATGGTGAGCAGAGAATACAGAAAAGTCGAGAATCAGAGCGATTATTTCAGTCAACAGCGGAACTGGCAGAATGATTTCCTTCGAATGGGACGTGACTTTATAGCGCTATAAGGTCACAACCCAATGTTGGCAATTTGCCAAACCTCAGCTTGAACTTTCGCGTAAAAGCTTCTTGCGCCGTTTTCACAATCGAAGGGAACTATGCCGCTATTTCTGCCATTCACTGAAGTAATTCGTGATAGTCGACTTTTCTGTGACCTCCTACCACACTACCATACTTTCCCTCCTCTTCCTTCCGCATAAAAGAGGCTGCTGGATTGGAGCACAGCACCGGAGACGCATCGACTTTCGCTCCGCCCTGCCGCCGCGGGGCCGTGAAGAAACCGCGTCGCATACGCGCATGGGTGAGTTTTTCTCTCCTGCGGGGAAAAAGAGAGAGAAGGTAAGGTTGGGCAAACTGCCAACAGTTGGATGTCACCTTTTAACGGTATAACGATTGCATAGAAGCTGCTTACGTCGGTTTCGCAATCGAAGAAAACTATTTCGCCAGTTCCGCCACTTACTGAAGTAAATCGCCCTGATTGATTGACTTTTCTGTACTATCTCAACACTACCACTACGTCACCTATACGTATCCACTATTTGTTCAACACACTTTTCTCTGTTTTTCCTTCCACATAAAAGTGGCTGATGATCGGAGCACAGTGGCGGAGGCGCAAACCATTGCCCTTCGCTCCGCCCTGCCGCTGTGGTGACGTCAAAACCGCGCCGCTTACGAGACCGGTTGAGTTTTCCCTCCTCCGCACCTCACCCCCTCCACTTCTCGTGAGGCATCGTGCACCTCGCTAATACTCTCCCAGCAGTACTATACAGAGAGGGTGCAGGCGAACACGTACAAACGCGTCTGGACGTCTATCACCGCAGGAAGCCTAGACAATATTAACGACAAGTACGTTATGCACTTCCAAATGGCAAAAAGTACACCTTCTGCGCCGTTTACGCCACCTTATACACTCGAACATTCTATTTATTAAGTAATCGTGTAATGTGCCTTTAATCTGTCGTGTTCTCATTTGTTTCCACAACCACGTAGAATCTATTCTAGTTCCTCAAATTTTATACTTATCAATAATACGATTTAGTAGCCATATCATCACAAGGAGGCGGAGGTGGTGCAGTGACAAGTGGCGCGCTTACCACCCGCGCGGTCCTGGTTCAAGTCCGGGGTCGATTCCCGCCTAGGCCAACCAAGCCTGCTATGCTCCGGGGACGGTAAATTGGTACCAGATTCGTCTGGGAGGAAAAAAAAACATTGACCTCTACGCTGACTGGCCCCCCGCAAGTCATAGCACAGGCCACATGGCATTCAATACAGTTAACTTCAGAATGCGTGCCATTTCACAAAGGGATAATGGCTAAGGCTTGACTTTTACCATCACAAGAACAGTAAATTGTGAAATTATCACGAAACAGAACAGCAACAATTCACATGAACAAAACTGAGGATTTCACAGTGACGAAGGCACAACGTTCGCAGAGATGGGGCCATGTCAGTAACAGCAACCAAAAAAAGCGATCTCCGTGCAGAGACAGAGCTATATAAGATAACGAATACGAGTAATTGTCAAGAAAAGTGATCTAAAACAACAGCAACAGCCAGTAATAACAACATAAGGCTTTCAATGTCATCGCTTTCTTTCATAAGTCCATCTCCATACTCCTGCACGATCTACCTTACCTGGTTTCTCCATAACAGGTTGTAATTCCGACCCTTTCGACTGCGCCAAATTCTGAAAAGCCAACATTTTCATCAGAAACTACAAGGATTGCGCACCAACGCGAAACATGGGACATTGTCTACCTAATCGAGATGGTAAAAGTGGTAGTGTAAGTAAACGCAGCACTCAGTGTTTCCTCCACTAGCCAGTCGGCTTCCAGCTATAGCCAGTCGGCTTTCAGCTAACGACCCTGAGGCCTGGTTGATGGAAATATTGGTTGGCTTGTTGGATTCCACGCAGAATTCGAGCCTGGACTTGCGCATGTGAAGCGACACCACCTGCCACACCATCATCATCATTCGAAAACAGGTTTTTAAATGGCTGGAGAACCTCCTAGCATCTGGAAGTTTATAGACAGTGAACTTCTAGGATGCAGGTCGACGCGAGGAAAAGGGGTGTCAGCTTCTCTCGCCAGAGAAGATTAGGGGACGTGGAAGCAGCTATTTGAAATAAAGTGTCAACCGTCAAAAGTGTCTGATACTGATTACGAACCCGCTTCGCATTCTCTTTCGTTTTCGAACGAAGTTCTGTAGGTGGTACTTTTTCAGGACAGACTCAGTACGAATTTCGAGAGCAAGGCTGCCTCTAAATGAGATAGCACAAATTTGTAAACCTATTTGCTCCATGAAGCATTTGCACATGGTCGTTGTGGCTACGAAGACACAATGGAAGCAGCCAAGGGTCAGCTAAGGGCCCGAAATTCATATTAAGTGTGAGTACGCCCCAAAAAACTCCGTAAACCGTTTTGGGGAAATCCGAGGCGGCATGCTGAAGAACGAGCTGTAATCAGTACCCACAGTCATATTACTCTATACATTCCTGTCAAACGGCCCGTTTGAGCTACCATCCTTCTCTTGTAGGCAGGAGCGGCTTTCGACTCGTCCTATTAGTAGCAACGTTAATGGGGAGAACAATCAATAATCAGGAAGCCGCCGCAGATCTAGTAGTTAGGGGACACTTGTTTCAGTATTCACAGTTTGACATTCACCCTTTTCATTTCAACGAAAAGGCGAATTCCGCCGACACTAGCCATCGGAGATTGCTAACAACCTCGACAGCTTAAACACCTGTTCACGTAGCAAAGCGGAGTCATAAGCGGGTTCATACTATCGTGTTCGATTGGTCGCGCTATCGTGAGTCGAGCACGTGACAGCCCCTCGTATTGTTTACAAACTATTGCTCAAACACCTGTTAGTAGTAAGAGGGCGAATTAAGTAGTCATATGTATTAAGTATCATTTATTGTCGCTACCGTAGTGAGATGGGACTGAGCGAGGGACCGGTAAGCCTTACTACGTCCCTTCCCCTTAGAAAGGCTTATACGCTTGGAGCGCAAACGACCGAGATGATGCATATCGAAGTATAACTCCAGTAAGCCTAAATCTTGATTAGGGAAGCGACGCAGAGGTGCTACGAGTGCTGGTATCCCATGCCCTTCCCAACTACGTTAGCGAAAACTTATTGTATCGAAGTACGGCTTCTGAGAACAAAAAAAACCCATGTATCACTTTCTTGAGTTCCATTTAGCAACCACGACTTCTAATTCTTTCACTCTCTGTTGTCGTTTCATCAATTGGAATAACGTGCACGCCTAAGTCGATCAGCTTTCTGGAACAGTGTAAACGTGAACATCAGAATGGTAAGAGCGCGTTTAGACTTCGCGGATCGTGCGATCCGATCGCCGCGATCGGATCGCTCGACTAGGATCGCGCGATCCAAGAGCCTATTGGGATGGGTGAAATTCAGGAGGGGGGGGGAAGTTTCATGTTTTCAAGGATATGCCGAAGTCGTTGTCTAAAGAGTTTCTCTGTTTGAAATGAATAACTGTTTTAGTAGTATACTGTTTTACTGAATGAATGCTATATTATTCGAATAATCAAACAATATTTATTCAAATATTCACTATAGTGTGGAAGAAGGTATAGTATGAAGTTCGTTGACGCATGCATGTAATTATGATATTTTCCTCTAAGGCCGCGTTCATCCGTGGCGACGTCGACGTCAACGTCACGAAGCTGCGTAAGCTGCGTAAGTTTGCGTAAGCTGGCGACTGGTTCGTGAATAACCCATACGTATCGATCCGACGAAAGCTGCGTAAGTTGCGTAACCTGCGCAGTTGCGTAGCTGCGTAGTTCGTAACCGACGGACAACTTCGAGAAGAAATAGATACGTATCGATCGTTAGCTGTCGTCGGTTTAGCAACTTTCGCAGCTTACGCAACTTACGCAGGTTACCAACTTACGCGCAGCTTTCGTCGGATCGATACGTATGTATTATTCACTGACCAGTCGGCAGCTTTTACGCAACTTAACGCAGGCTTTTGTCGACGTTGCGTCGACGCGTACGCATGGTATGAACGCGGCCTAAGGAAACTGGGTCTATGGACCCGGGCCGGCGTTCCGTTAAAGGCAGCGTTCGCGATCACATTGTGAAAAACTCGCGATTGAAAAACGAACGCGGAGTCACGCACCGCAACGAGATCCGACTCTCGGCTCGAGAATCGATTGGTTGAACGAGGCGGAGTCAACACGCTAGCTGAACCCTCTTTCTCTGTTATCCCGCGCGATTGTTAAAGTTGTCAATGGCTTGGCATTGAAATACGCTGAATTTCTAGAGGCTCAGGAGGCGGCGCACGTGTATTGGAGAATCACTGGAAGTGCGAAACCGTCCACATGCATTAAATTATCATCAGGGTCTACTAATATCACGCTCTTCTCCACCTTTCCCTGCTTTTTTTGATTAGTGCTTCATTGCCACCTGTCTAGCCAATGTGACCCGCTGAAGCCTGCCCAAGTCCATCGCGGGCGTTGTCTAAATGATCAGTGATGCATGCTGTTGCTGTTATCGATCGTCCCTCAAGAAACTGTCTTTTCGCTTTGAAATGCTTCATCTTTATTGGACATGCTAGCAGATGATTGTTATAGATTCCGGAATATCTTGTGACAAACAACCTCCTTTCATTCATAGTTCATTTTTATAATGCAATATCATTAGGGTTTCAGAAACTTTCGAAATTGCTTTAGTTGTGTTCTTCTGTATTCCCTTTCATTTTTTTTAGATTCGGAATTTGACAATCATGCTGAATTTCACCCATCCCAATAGCGCTCTTGGATCGCGCGATCCTAGTTGAGCGATCCGATCGCGCGATCCAATCGCACGATCGCGAAGTCTGAACGCACTCTAAAGTGAGCAGAAGAAAATGGCAAATTCCAATAAAAAGTAAAGGAAAAAGGACACCAACTTTCACTTCTTCTTTACTTTGAGCTCCTATAAAATTCTTCTTGGCCAGATCGTTCTTCCGTAAACGATTATACTTCCTAGAGATCACAGACTCGTCAGTGCCGAAATATTCAACAGGATCGAAAGATTTCGCTAAAGGAAATAATTTCGTAAATTATGCATTCAAAACGAAGAACCTTTCACTCAGACAGTAACAAGGGAAAGCCAAAGTTATCACACACTACTGTGTGAACTAGAATTTCTAACCCTCCTCATCGTCGTCCACGAAGATTGTGTGTTTACTCGCTCCAAGTCCACAACTTGGATCGGCGAAGTGAAGCTCGGATTTTAATTGTTCGACTTTCTGCAAATTGTTTGGACCAATTTTAAACAACCATAGAGGCACTATAACAGAGAGCAACCTTTTTCTCCGCGTATAACTTGTACTTTACGTATTCCAGATCTCTGACATCGTTCAACTTTTTCTGAACTTCGGAATCCTCTTCCTGTTTTTTCTTCTTCTCGAAATGTCGACCATCGGACTGAAATAAAACTGGATCTTAGTCTATAGTAAAAATTGCTTTATTTCAAAATTGAGGAGTAGAAACGAACCACCGTACAAGTACAATATCTGCTTGTATCATTATGTTTCGAACACTTGCGTGGAGACGTCGTCGTGTTCATGCCTTACAAAACTAAAGGTATCAGAGAAGTGGCGAATTGCGGAACTCCGACTCCGCTGGTCAGTACATATCCTTTTTCCGCACATTCTCTGATTCTTCAACTCAGCGATTCGCCGATTGCTATAAGCCACTAAGTGTAGGACCGGAATAATTCGAAAACCTACCGTATCTTTTTCGTGGCCGGATACGCATCACTCTCACAACGTTTGCGCGACACGTGCGGCGCGCATCATCAAGATAGCATCTTGCCATCTTGATGATGCGCGCTTTCAGATGGGGATTTTGGTTTCGAAACTTCGTCTAAAACTCCATTTTGCGTATCATGATTTCTGCGTATCATGATAGAGCTCTCTCGTTTAATCTGATGTGGTCAATGTGGGACATCACTGCACAACTGAATACATCCCGTGGGAACAAATCAACTGATATCCTAGAGTTATACGATACTATGCCATAGTTACTGCTAACAGAAACGACAGATCGATCCATGAAATTGGACATTTAAGAGACAGCGTGGTAATTTCCCTGAAACATTTGCCTCGTATCTACAGGCGTTCATCTCCGAATAAAATTGCCTTGTGCCCGAAAAGGTGAACATCATTGAACTTAAATCGAAGCTAGTATAGAAGTAGGTGTATGGAAGGTAGATTTGCGACACCGCGTTTCGCTGATATCCTTCAGGCCGAGCGTTCCTGATGTAGAATTTATTATTGCCCCTTAAAGAAGAATGATATTAAGTTTTATGGTGTAGCCTATCTCAAAACCACAAGGATAAATAGGGAAAAGCCGCTGTCTGATCCCATGAAAAACAGTTCCTTTTGAGAGGTTTGGTTCCCGTGATTGTAACGATTGCCTTGAGCACTTATTTGGGTACGGAAAACCTTTAGTCAAATGCCCTTTACCTGGAAAACACTGACAAGATTGGCATTTCTCACGTAAGCCTTGTAGAAGCTGAGACCTCATGAGATTCAATCGCTCTTTTATCAAAATATTTTACAGCTTTGAAATGAGTCCATCATGTCCTTTGGAGCATTTCCGTTCCTACTGTGAAGCAGATTTCGTGCTCCTCTTCGAGTCGGTCATAAGTCTAAACGAGTTGCTCCCAAGCAGGCTGCACAAAAATGAAAAAATGGAAGCCACGCTTCTGTGACTACTCCATGTCGCCGTTCGAGTGAGGAAATCGGTATACTCTATGCGAGCGGGAACATGAAAGTGGATTTTAATTCGCACAGCAATGGAAACGCGGAAGCACTACCTCCTTGACAGAAGGAACAGAACTATCCACGTCCCTAGTATTACGAATGGTAAAGAGCCAGCGTGCCACGAACCCATGCGGGTACCGCCACGAGAAAGACACGGTAGGTTTTCGAATTATTCCGGTCCCACACTTAGTGGCTTATCCGACTGCTCTATTCTGCAGTTTCGCGAACTATGAACACGGTCTTAATTTCTCATCGTATAGCTACGCCCATATAATAAAGCTTGCAGCACTCAGTACAAAAGAACTCAGTTTTATAGAAAGGCTCCAACTTTATGAATTGTTTTCCAACAACAATTTCGTTCTGGCTTTGCGTGATACTGCACGAGGCTACTCAAAAAGAAAGCGGTCCCTAACATATAAACGGCCTTAAATTACGATTTACATGATCTCAGCAGTATATGCAGATTTACCTGCTCTCAGCAGTATATGTAACAGAGGAAGAGCATTACACAACGATAAAGTGCGTTACTTCCATTGAAAACTAGGCATTGCTATCGAAACTGCTCACCCTAACTTCACTATTGATCATGTGATGATGATATTCGTCCTCATTCTTGTCCAAAGCATGTTTTCTCAGTTTCTTTAAGGTGTCTCGTTTTTCCTAAAAGAAATACTGTATGAATCCTGACTTCTTCGAGTACAATCCGACACAATGGCACAAATCCCAAAACATTTAGTTCTACTTCATCTTTCGTTTTGAAAGGCGAAATCTGAAGAAGAGCGAAAATCAGCTTTCCCCCAGATATAAAGCAGAAACAAAGCAACTACCCGAACCATTAGACACAGACACCTTCAAAATCTTACTTGGTAATCCTTTGCACGAGCTTTGTAATCGGCTTTCTTCTCTAGTAAACCCAGATGGGCTCTTGATTTCGGCTATAATCACTTCAATTACTTAAACAATACACGGTTGTGAAACTAGAGGAGTAATACATCAAAAACCGAGTAGGTCAGTGGAGTCAATGGATCTCAATTGGGTTCTCAAATCAAAAACACCATTATTAAAGAGTCAGAAAATTACCTGAGAGCGTTCTCGGTGAGGCCGTTGACTGGCCAACTTCTTGCTGATGCTCGAGAACGTTGACATCTACTAAAAACGCGCTACTGATACAATACTCGTGGCTAAAGAGCGGCTTCAGCGAACTCCTCAAATAATTCATGAAAAAACACTTCAGATACTTTTAGAATGCTGCATACAATTTTTATGCTATATCTACAGTCAACAACAACTATCAACAAATTAACAATAGCTTTGCAAGGGATTTAGCCTTCTAGCCTAACAATGAATTTATAAAGGAGTAAATATACTCAACCAACTAATACTGTGATGTTTCAAAGGAACGGTTCATAAAACTACGAAGCTAACACAAGGGTAATTCACTACTTCATAATACCGCACAAGGAATCACATTGACTACCAATTCATTCTCTAAGTGGAATGGCTAGAAATTCAAGGCTGCTAAAGACCTTGGCTTTAGAGTGAGAGACAAATACCCCTCCTTGACTTCCTATATTATAGCTAAAGATATGAGAGACAATGACAGAAATAAAAACTCTGATAAAGCCACACAGCTCCATTTAAGAAGAAGAAAGAGAGCGCCGTCGGTTTGCCCGTTCAAAATATACTTTGAAGTACTCGTATGAGCCGATCATGATCGCACATGCTGGAGCAATCTTCGCCACTCGCGGTACCACACCTGAATTTCAGTCATCATTTTTAGAAACTCCTTCTCCAAGGATTTAAATTTTCGTGAAATTAGCAATCAACCTAACAGAAGTACGTAAACGATCCTGTCTCACATTGGGCAGTGCACATAGCCTAAGCAGGTTCCGGCAAGTTATAAGTGAAAACGTAAGGTTCACTGAGTGTTGAAGAACCTGATTCCTTTGCAAAAGACGAACTTTAAAGTTCATAAAAATGTGAATGAAACTTGATCGTTGTGGAGAATTATAAGGCAGTTTGATTAAATACCGTCTGTCAAATTAGGCATTTATATACGCTCGAGGTTCACAAAGAACCCTATTCAGAGTGTGTTCTGCGATGAATGGCGCTATTCAACATGCAAGTGATTCTTGATTTGAAAAATTCCACCCACTGTGGCAATCTTCTGTTCTTGAGAACTTCTGAACTGTTACCAAATGCCTGACAGAAAATGCTTGAAACGAAGCGTCACTTACCAGCAAAAAGTGCACTCACGCCGCCACCGTTATGCACAACTTCTTGCGCAACCAAGGCAAGAGGGGGCCGTCGAGCCATATTATTGTCACCAAGTTTAATTTGAAGATGAGTCTTCATCTTAAAGAAGGAAATAAAATAATACTTGCATTTGAATGCGGTGCTGTAAGAAATTGAGTGTTTACAATAAAACCGATTAATTTACAGTAACACATACACACCACATCAAAAGGAGTAGTAAGCACTGCAGCGAACGATCCAGCCATCGCTCCACAGGCGAAAGACATCGTAAAGGTCGGCTCTTGCATATTCCTCCATGCCATGAATCTGGTTTTGAGTGTGTCGTAAGCTGCCCAATAAATAGCTGAAAGGACGAGTGAGGCTGAAACCTTTTTGGCGCCTAACTAACTTCGGCATTCAATGTTTCACTTGCTTTGAAGCTTTCAGGACAAAGTGACACATTCATTCAACTCCGCTTTGCAAACCTACTGAATCGTTTTTTCAGTAGCAAACTGGTCCAGTTGAAGTATTCCACGGATATCTACCAGACAGAGCCTGTTCCTTGTACCTAGTCCTGTGCGCAATGTCTAAGCTTGTAAAACTTTCACGAATTGACAGTGAGCAACGAGGGCGCTGCGGTCGTAAGAAAAATGAACGGTACCTGCGGAAGCTTAATATTATGTCAAAGGTCCTAAATCTTTTCATGGCCTCTCCCGTTTCTCACGGCGAGCGTACCAGAGGGAAAATTGCAAGGGGTCGTATTTGGCAAAGAAATTCCCAGTGACGCAGCGTTCCCTACTTCCAGCTCGCCCTCCTGCTCTCTGCCTCCCGACTCCCATTCCTTTGTGTGGTGGTACAGTCGATCTCTACAAACGACGATTCAGTCGAGGCGCTGAACACAAATGATTTAGTGTTCCACCCAACAACCTCGTGGGGCACGAAATGAGTGAAACATATTTTCCGTATTCCAGTTCTAGGTGAATAATGAAATGACATACCCGAGAACGGTATATCACGCAACAGGGTTGGTAACCAGCCCAAATAAAAACCCGAAATTCCATGAGTAGATATGGTAACGCGTAAGGCTTGTCCAATATCTGAAAAAGAATGAATAAATCGGCATCTGCATCTAATGAAAAACTTGTTGAATTTACACAACCTTTTACAATAATAATATTACGTCCATCTTCTAGGAAAATGATCATGTGCTAGTTCACCTTAATAACTTTAGGCATACGAGAAGATGAGCACCTCTCCAGATGATACCGCAGGCGGTATTATAAGCGAGCAATCGTGTATGTGCCTTAGATTTCTCCTTGTGCTCCTTCCGCTTTTTTGAAAAAAGCCACCAGTCTTAGCTACGGCATTTCAGTAGCAGCTCTCACACGTATACACAGCCTTGTTCGCTGAGAAGGGACGTGCCAGGCATGATGGGATTGGCGCGGCGCCAAAGCCTTTTTCTACCATTTATTAAAGTGAGCAAGCGACAGAACTGTATCATATCGTTCGCCTCAGTCGCTGCCACTAATTGTGGTTGCTGACCCGCTTTGATAACTAGTGGAGAACGGGTATGGCACCGCACCAATCCTATCCCGCCTGACGCGCCCATTTATCTGGAGCGAACAAGACTGTAATCCCATAGATCTGTGTATTATTGCATTGCGTCAGACGTAACAATAAACATTTATAAAATAGAAAATAGTATTCTCTTCGCAAAACAGCTAAAGTCACCTACGGTACCTATGAAAAACTCACCGCGATAATTCAATTGTTCGCTTTGCATTTTTGTACGAATCATTTCCAGTGGGCTGACAATTGTTGCAGCTGTCGTCCTCGCCAATGCTCCAGCGAACATAGCCGCCGTCCAGTCGGGTGGACATATCTTTTGTGGCGTCAATTTTCGGCGACAGCATAACCTGAAAATATTGAGTGTGGAGAATACCTCTTAAAATTCATACGATATGAACACTCACGCGTTCCGAAAGCGTACCAACAGTCTGTCATATAATGAGTAGTAAAACACGGTAGCTGGTACGGCCATAACCCTCAAAATATCATGACAGTCGGGAAAAACGTGGGGAAAAAACACCAAAACTCACAGGTAACGGCCATAACCCTCAAAAATAGTCATACAGTACGGGAAAAACGTGGGGAAAAAACACCAAAACTCACAGCGTGGGAGATAGCCCGCTCCACAGAGAGCGTAAGCCCTCGTTGCGCGTAATCTTTACGAAAGCATCCTAAACAGCATAAAGCAATCACTGCTTGCATAAGAGGGATTGTTTAAAGGGAACCCACGATTGTTCCAGAAAAGTTGCCAGGTCGTTGATACCATGCACATGGCAGCCGTTGCTCACATGATCTACATAAATGTTCCATGAGACCATTGTAGTAGTAAAAGCAATGTCCCTTGGGGAAAGGATGATGTTGTTGCTGCAGTCGTATTTTAACCACATCCATCGGCGTCACTAGAACAGCGCCACTGCAAATTACTGCCACGCGCTCCGATGGATAGTGACAAAGAGTGCAAGAACGGAAGATGAGAGATGAGAATTTTCCTGCCTCACAAAGAAGAACTTTTCCAATTACTGCTCTTGAAGATGAGAATTTTCTCGCATTGCAAAGAAGAACTCTCCAAATAGTGTTCTCTCTTCACAGAATTGAAGTGACTCCGTAATTTCATATAGGCGAGTTGCCAGATAAATGAACCACGAGAGGGCACACAGCAAAAGGCAACGCGTCAACATGGCTATCATATACCAAAGCGGTTGGAGAACAGACCACTCTCTGGGCCCATTCGAGTAGCAGAAGAGATGGTAGTAGCTGGATGCGAATTCAGGTGGCCTCCATGCGTTGGTGATTGGACTCAGCCCTTAGAATGGTTCATACTGTGCGTCAGCGTTTTGAGTATACGGCAAAGATTTTAGCGACTAGAAAAGCATTAATGCAGCGTTTTGAGCATACGCCATCGCATATGGGGGTACGCCTAAAACGCTAACGCAAATTATGAATGCGCTCCTGTACTGAAACGCGCTTTTAAAAGTACTAATACAACATAAAATAAGTAACAACAATAATCGGTAGAGCTCTGATATAACCAAGCAAAGTACTCACTTAAAAGAGAAGTCACAATAGCACCTGTTGCCGACGAAACGATTTGTTGTGTAACCGAAACGGACGGACTGCTTCTGTGACAGCACTCTTCCCCACCATCTCAATAAGAACATGACTTACGTAAAACTCGCGATCAAGTTGTTGTCACCTTACCATTATTATGAAAATGTGGATCTCCAGACGAAAATGAAGGCACTTCCGTTCCACTCATAGTGTCAGATCACTATAAAAACACCTCAACACAAACATATACGTTACATTCCGACTTGACGTAAGCTCACCGCGATTCAGCAAAGTAATCTGATCTTCCGAGATCTGACATCCCGATGAATTAAGAAACTCGAACCTTCTATAGTTATGACGAATAAACAAAATCTAGAATGTAAATTCAGTAGAGAATTTCATTTCTCTCATAATCTCGAGCAAAGCCACAACAGAACATTTGAAAAATTATAACGCACTAACCAACGTCGTCAATAACAACACTCTTAATCAGAATGTTCTTTTACAACCGAGAAAACAGGAAACCATTTAACACACAAAATGATAAAATCAACAGTAACAATAACGGAGCTGGTTCTCGTCAAGACGAATACCTAGAGCAATTAGATGCACAAAGGCAATCTGATAACAACTGCAATCAAAGTAACAGGATCATTTCCCACCTAGAGAAAAAAATATCTCCCTGTAAAACCAAAAATTAGGAATAACAATAAGCTCCCTTGATAGCGGCACTTCAAAAATCTGTTAAACGATTGTATATGACAAGTATAGAATACAAGAAGTGTTTTAGTGACTGGACTATTGCGCAACGTAAACAATGGTTTCTCCTAGCGGATGAGTAGCACCATTACTCCTGATGAACACCATTTTCTTCTCATAATCAACAACAAACGTATCTGAAACACAATCAAACAAACACCAATTAATTTTTGAACGATGAGGTCCTTGAAGAAGGTGAGCAGTGGGTCAAGAAGCGCGTGGAGCCCTTGTAAGCTTGGGAGGTCAAAAAGGTAGCCGTCAGCGCTGACAGGCGCTTTATCCTCGAAGGAATGAGAAAGGGAGCTCGAAATGAAGAAGAGCGAAAAGTTTGAGGAAGTGTGTCAAAATAGTAGTTTAATTTTGAATTTTTCCGTCTTGTTCTATAATAGGTGAATACCAATACTTAGCACAGTCCTGAGCACCCCTTTTCAAGGTGCAAGCCGCCCGTTTGCTTTGATTTTTTGCGAACGTTTTGTAAAAACGCAATTCACATATAGTGTTCTCACCGGACGATTATGAAGTCAAGTAAGTTTTCATGTATATTGCATCGATTTCATAGAAATATTCCATGTTCAGGTAACAAACGTAAACGGTTGAATGTATGCTGAACGACATCAACCATATCACAAAAAATAAAAGATTTACGAAAGCCAAGCAGGAGATAGGAGCAGAGTCATGCAGAAAACAAGGAACAGGCTGCCGCTATGGCTGTGCTTGTGCTCGTGTGCGTCGCTAAACGTGCAGCCGTTCATGTAACTAAAGGCTCAGGTGCTTTCGAGATATAAGCAGGCTTCGTCGCTTACATGCTGCAAAATGTAGAAATAATTATATACTTATATATAATAAAGATAAGAGCGCTGTATCGCTAGAAAGATGAAGTGTTGATGCTCGCAGCTGTTGCCATCCCTGAGCGGAAAAGCAGGAGATTCCTGCTCTCAACCTTTCAGTACCTTGTCTTGATCAGAATGATCAGTAATACGGAAAAAAGCAGGCGCTATATTGAGCTTAAACAGAACAATGGGCACATTACTAGTTGAAGGGGGTCAGCGCGTTCTCAGCCAGTTTTGATGCGATGAGGGTACAGCGTGGGGACTTCACACTGTGCTGTCTTCCTGATCACGTTTTATGCGACGAAGGCAAGGAGAACGTATTTCCAGGGAGATCTAGATCAAGAAAATAATATACTTGCAAAATTAATGTGGTGCAAGTGTGAGGATCAGGCAGCTAGGAACTACTACCGAACTATCTTGTGACTGGCAGCACATTACTTCGCAGCAGTTGTTCATTGTGTAGGGACAGAAAGCAACTTTGATGGTACTACAAATTTGGAGGTGAGGCGAATTTATAGCGCAACGACTCGTCCAATTACTATACGCAACACGTTTACTTACCATGAGAAGAAGTTATGCATAAAACTGCTCTAAAACTCTTACGAAACAATATATATAATACATAACAGACGGAATTTCAAGTTGAGATTTAGTTTTCAGCTTTCAAGCTTTCTATTTGTTTCATTATTTACTCGTCATAAATTATTTCGCCGCGGCATACACACAAGTAATCTGTGAAAAACCGAAAATTTGATAGGAGATTTTCGTCGCAGGAAGGAATCGACAAAAAAGATAGTTATTGTTGCAACAATCAACTGTTCAGATTCAGAAGCTACGTCACTGGAGAAAACCACACCGCTCAAAGAACGCCCACAACGCAACCGCCGACCGCCGAGCCGACTCCAAGTTAAGCCACATCAGAAGATCTACATGTAGACAAAAGAACTTACCTATTAATAAGATGAATGTTGTTATTGTAAAAAAAAAACAATCCCACCACTGCACCTTAGGGTGAGGTGTTGCGGCAGACCGCTCAATACTAATGAGCCCACTGCCCTAAGTGATAAATGGAGCGAGCGTTGTTTACATTTGTTGTTTTAGCAGTGATAATTCATCTTGGGTCTATAAAACGACCTCATGCGGTGTGATGTCAATTGTCGTCTCGTGCTCAATAAAGCACTCTCGTCCGAATTCTCACACTGGCGATCAGGCCTCAGAAGAACACCTGCGGAAGAAGTTCAACGAGCAGCCGTCAACTAGAAGAAACTCGACATGCCCAGTAGCAGCGTTCCAGCCACTTCAAAGGATGCCCGAATGGATGGCTCTTTCCTGACAGCGATCCAACAGCAGTTCCAGCAGCAGAACCAACAGTTCAATCAGGCTACTGGCAGCACTCGTGGAGCAAAGGGTAGGGGTCGGCAGAACCTTTTGAGAAACACTCTTCTCAGATGTTATGATGACCTGATGCGAGACCTGCCATATTTTCAACTATGACGACGACGATGACTCAACCTTCAATGCCTGGTTCAAGCGATATGGACCAGTAATCGGACGATCGAGGGAACACGTTTTCGGAAGAACGTAAGCGAAACGTCATTATTGATAAACTGGACAAAGCAACCTACAAAACGTATTCCGAACGTTTTTGCCGTTGAACCACGGGATATCGACCTGCCCACTACTGTCGAAACGGCTGACCAAACTATTCGGACCGAAGAAGACTCTTATCCGCCGTCGATTCGAGTTCTACAAGACATCCTGTCCTCGAATAAGCGGATCACATGTCCCCTACCGCGACTTCGGAAACACGATCAAGAAGAGTTCGAGGAAGCATGTATGAAGGATGTTGACAGCGAATCACTCAAATGTCTTGTCCTTGTAGCTGGTCTCCCCGACACTACCCATTCAGAGATGCGCCTTCGGCTCTGAACAAGATGAACCGTCTCAAAGAATCGCGATCCTCTCCCACTCCTCGATGATTTCATCACAGAATGTGAAACGTTCGTTACGTTGCGTTCAGATAAGCGAAACAATGGAGACAAAGGAGATAAACGTCGCTCACCAAGGAAAGCCACTTAAAAAGCGACTTGGACCGAAACATGTCAGTGTTTCAGAAGGCGCTCCTTTTCCAAAGAACGCGCGGAGATGCAAAATCGGAGAAATCTGTCGACAAAGAGAACAAAGAGCCCGTTCTTTCCAAGCGCAAGCTTCGATGCAAGAACGTGAATATTATGACTAAAGATGCAAGAACATACATGAAAGTTCGCATTAAGGCCAGCTCACCCACCTACAACTCGACACTGGAGCAGACATAACAATGATATCTCACAGAAACATGGACCAAATTGGATCCCCATCTCTTCGTCCAGGCATCCAACAGAAGGGCTTTCGAGGGGAGCGCGAAGTTGGATATTTCAGGATGAATGTTCGTAGTAATCAGCTACCGATCTCCTAGGACTCGAATGGTGTATACAAATGCCAGACTATCGTCAGCTCAAAGAACAGTACAACTGTCGACAAGCGACTGCAGCGACTCGACAACCATCGCAACGAACTCGTTACTCACTTGAGGACACAGTTCCCTAACGTCTTCGCTCCAGGTCTTGGGACGCTGCACCAAGACGAAAGCCAAGCTATTCCTGAAACCAGAGGCTCAACCAGTGTACCGTCACAAGCGACCTGTACCATTCGCCTCTCACCACGTGTCGATTCCAAAGTTGATCGCCTTATCCAAGAAGGTGTACACACAGCCGTGGATCACTCAAATGGGCAGCACCAATAGTGGTGGTGAAGAAAAGCAATGGCCAGAATCGCGATTATGTGCGGATTTCTCCACCGGTTGAATGACGCCTTATCACTTCATCAACATTCCCTTACCAAAAACGGAGGAAGTCTTACCAACTCAACGGTGGACAGCTTTTTCTCACAGATCGATCTGGCAGATGCATACTACAAATCGAAGTGGACGATGATTCAAAGGAACTACTCCCGATTAACACACATCGTGAATCGTTGAAGGAATCCGAAACAACAACAGAGGCCGTACAGAAATTTTTGCTATCCTACGCAGCACACCATGCTCATCTTCACCGAAGGACTCACCGGCAAAGAACTTCCTAGGACATCGTCTCCGAACGCCTCTCACTCTTCTGACGACACCTAGAAACGTACGACCGCGCGCCAACGAAGACATGGAAAATCAGTTCATCACGACACCATGGAGCTCGCATGAAATCCTTCAAGCCGGAAGACCTCGTCTGGTGAAAGCATTCAAAGAGGAAGGAAGAAATGGTACCAGAAAGATCCTCAACTGCCGCGGAAATACAGTATACGACGTACTTCGTGAATAAGAGCCGTGGAATGTCGTCATGCCAATCAACTACGTCCACGCATGGCCGCCACACTAGAACAGACATCACTGGGCAAGCTACGACTTATCACCTGAACGCCGACACAACGTTGCGAAAACCATGCGCCCAGAAACCAGTGACTATGGCAACACACAGATGCAACAAAACTGTTCAGATTCAGAAGCTACGTCACTGGAGAAAACCACACCGCTCAAAGAACGCCACAACGCAACCGCCGACCGCCGAGCCGACTCCAAGTTAAGCCACATCAGAAGATTTACATGTATTACAAAAGAACTTACTATTAAATAAGAATGAATGTTGTTATTGTAAAAAAAAACAATCCCACCATTGCATCTTAGGGGGAGGTTTGCGACAGACCGCTCAATACTAATGAGCCCACTGCCCTAAGTGATAAATGGAGCGGTTGTTTACATTTGTGTGTGTTAGCAGTGATAATTCATCTTGGGTCATAAAAGACCCTCAGTGCGGTGTGATGTCAATTGTCGTCTCGTGCTCAACAAAGCACTCTCGTCCGAAGTCTCAACAGTTATGATTGTTTTAGGGAAGAATTACGAGGTCTCGAATTAGAGCGTCATTGACCTATCGACATCGTTGAGTACGATTGATAAGTGAGCTATGCTATTAACCCCTTCTTGAAGATGAATCACGTCTTGGATGTATACAGCGTATTACTGCGTATCCCCATCTGCAAGTACCCGATGGCGCCCGAGAAAATGTCTTCCCTTCTAGAGGTGTCGTATTTACTCTTTAAGGGTGATCGTTAAATCCTACATTTCATAGACGAACATGCGTCGGAGACGCAGTAATTCGCCGGTGCACCTTGACTGCAACTGCTTAAAATTTACGTATAGCAACGATACAGTTGAATGTACCAAACAGAAACCTCGCAAAGATGAGAGTCGTGACAACGCAACCAACCTCCTCTAGGCCACCGCTCACCATATTATGACAACTTTACTTCATTAAAACTCACCATTATCGTGAAGTTGTTCGTTTATCGATAAACGGATTACCACAATTAATCAGTTTCCGATTCACCTCCGACCGCATCCAGATAACGCCACAAGGGTGACAGTAAATCGTGCTGAAACTACTTCATACTCCAAGTTCAGTCCTAATGAACGCTGATATGATCAAGAAAATTGTAGTTGGCCACGCTGTCGCGAGCGGTGAATCGTGGAGAGGGCGCGGAGTTCAGCGTGGGATGTTCCACAACCACAAGCATGGCAACACTCTTTATCATATTGACTTCTCCTGCTTAAAGACACATGGTACGCTCAAAACATTAAGGTGTATGAGACTAACAGCCCCCAGCTGTCGATGTTCGTGGTTTCCCGCCGAAACTGCATCGGGGGTCCTAGTACGGGATCGTGGGAAAGGCTTATTCCTTGCTACACCGCCCAAAATCCACAGCGCGCAAGTTGCATTTTGGGCGGTGTAGCAAGGAATAAGCCTTTCCCACGGTCCCGTACTCGGACCCCCGTGCAGTTTCAGGCGAGGAAACCACGACACATCCAGCTGGGGGGCTGTTAGTCTCACACACCCTCAATGTGTTTGAGCGTACCATGTGTCTTTAAGTACTCTACTAAGAAATGGTTGACATTAGGATATCGTACAGTTGATACTGTTGCAATCAGTCGGTGCGGTTTCACAAAGGATGGAATGGGCTCACAAACGACGTTTCCACCACTATTGTTCCCATTCCAGATCTCCTGCTGACCCTCCCGATCGATTGCGACGTTATGAAGTACATAACTGGCTAGAGCTATCCACTTGCCTTGCAGCATTCGAGCAATCGACGTCGCTGCGACGCTCACCAGCGCGGTGAATTACGACTGCCTCGTCAAAATGAACACTAGGCTACGATGAATCAGTAAGAAAGTCCGATTGATCAGTCTCGGAAGAGTTCACTCCTCTCATCCTGTGTTTACTGATTCATGACGATATAGACGCATCAATGGTGTAGCTTTGTGTCGAGGAATAAACTCTAGGTTCCTTTGTCACTACTCGAAGCAAAGCGTTTGAATTCATAGCAAGCAACTCTGATGCAACAGTGGTGAGTGAAGATCTTTACTCAGGAGGAACTCCCTGTCACTCACAAATACTAACCGCGACAGTTTCTTCACGATCTTTCTGGGCGTCAGTCGCTTTCGGTAAGAACACTCAACTGAATTGATAAAACTTGTTGAACAAACACTCACGTTTTATGGATTTATTCAGTCGACGAAGTTTCCGCGCAATAACGTAAACGGAATCGCCATCGGCAATTGGAATATCAACATCAAAGAGAGCGTTGGCAACATGCACATTACGGGCAGTCAATGCAACACTATCCTGAAAACCAATGAAAAATGATCTGTAGCCAATACAATGAAGAACAGGCTATGCTCACCTTGAGCGGTAAAAAGTGCATCAATGGCGCTCCTGGTACGACGGTCTCGGCAATCACTGGCTCGACATCGGATTCATCCGTAAATTTAATGAAGAACCTGTCAAGCTCCAAAGAATTCTCGATATACTCGCGATTTTCGAGCAATACGGCAGCCTTAACATCATAAATTAACGAGAACCCCAGAAAAATGAAAAAAACGATATTTTCACTTGATCGAATGGGCACGCTGAAGCTAGTGCAGCCTTTCCTTTTTGCCCATATTGCTCCTTTACCATTTGTACAAATGGCATCATCTTCTTGGCGAATTTTTTCAACGACTGCTCTTGGCCCAAGATTTGTGAGATAGTCTTGTTGTCTGGCAGCACTCCATTGTTCTCCTGACAAGACAGCTTTCATCCATCAGATACGGTTCAACAAAATTGGACCACATAGAGGAATATATCTCCTTTATTTTCAAGAGAAGCGCTACCTCAGCTTGCTTTTCAAGGAACTGTAACACTGTTTTCTGCCACGTGGGAAACTCCTTGGCTACATAGATGACGGCTTCCAATGGAGGACTTGTAAAGGCATTCTTCTTCTTTGAACTCATCGAATTCTTGATACGAGCTCGGAAATCAGCCATGACGTCTCGCATGAACTCGGCCGCCTAAGTGATTAATTCTCGGTTCGACTTTGAAAATGGGGAGACAGTATTGAAAAAAAAACTGACCTTGCAAAGTGTTTCATCTACTTCCGCTGTTTCCGGCCACTTTGAGCTCACAATGAGTTCGTTCTGAACAATGATATTCACCAACAAAGATTGGCTAACCAAAATGTTACACCTGCCTTGTTGAGTATCTGCCAAATATGCTCTCCGATATGGGGGCATATAGGCGAAAGGATCAGCGCTTGGGTTTCAATAAAACGGAATACCAACGCTTCATTCATGGCTCCATCTTGCCCTCCACACAATTCTCGATACATATCACGAAGAGCCTGAAAAACGTATATAATCGCCGAACAGTTTATTGGACTGGGGAAGAATCGGAAGAAAACAAATGAAATCGTCTGAGTAAAGATGCCAGTCTATTTTTAACTATATATCACCGAGTTGAGAAACCTGGATTCTTTTGAATAAGAACCTAACGTCATACGATTTTGCGCAGTGTGTTGACTTGAATTATGTGTTGAAGAGGTGAGATCACGAAAACAATTTCACCGCACTCTGGAGAGCTGGAAAAAAATAACTGATGATGCCTGCTGACCTGGTACTCGAAGAATCCATATTTTAATGCTTCTTTGAATAAAGTGGCCTCATAGTGCTGTGCACATATCCTTATATTTTTGTTCATTTCGTTAGCAAACACTCTATCAGCAAAACTGGAGCAGTCACCCTTCCGCAAACCATTCTGTTCACGTAGTGCCACCTAAAAAGATGATTGTAACATGTTGGAAGCATTGACTGAAAAAGCACACCAACCATATCCTTAACCCATTCGATTAAATTATAGAGTCGGAGAATAGCTGCATCGGCCATGCTGAATACGAAGTTTGCGTCCTCAACTGCGTCACCAGCATCCTGTACGAAATGATGAAAATGTAATACCCAGATTCCCAGAAGAGGTACCTAGGCCTACCGCAAGTGAAAGACGCATTCCATCCGCAGAAAACGTTTCTATGCCATCGATAAGCGTCATGAAGTTACCGGTGTTCTTAGACATCTAAAAAGTGCCCGTGAATGTAAGGAAAAAACGAGCAATTTCGAAATTTCCACTTGAAATGCGAGTAAAGAACACGAGGTAGTTAAGACAGAACCTTCTCATTGTTCAGCAAAAGATGTCCATTGGCCCGGATACTTTTCGGCCACATTTCTGGTTGATCAGGCCATATCGCAACATGATTGTACAAAAGGTATGTGAGGTGATTCTGCACAAGATCTTTCCCAGAAGCACGCATATCTATGGGATACCTGAACAGGAACAAGTTTGGATCTTTTCCATAGTCGGTAAAAATAAACAAAGATAGAGAAAACAGCTATTCAGTTGCCACGCGGTAATGTAATTTGCACTGAAAAACAGGAAACCAACTAACCAATACAAAAACTCTTTACGAAGAGCAATAAGCTTCTCTTCGGCAACGGGCATTGTTGCAGGATCATAAACATATCCTAGGAAAATGTAGTCCCATACAGCGTCTGTCATTTGGTCAGCTCTAAATAACAAAAAGCTAAGAGAGTTGGAGGACAAAATACATTCGAATTAATGAAATAAAGAAAATGATGGTCGTCTTGTCATCACAGAAACAAAGTGGGAATACCTTATCGCTGAAACTTAAGGAAGTTGACATTCCGACTAGTTGTGGGCATTCAAGATTTTTGAAAGTTTAGGGTCTGGACGGTCTCCGACTTGTGAGTATTTGTGTTGCCAAGTTTGTTGATTATTTTTCTTTGTGTCGATTTGTTTTGTAACTTATCTGTTTCGCTCATAATGTAGCGCACCCGTGTGTTGCATGATAAATAAAGTAAATAAATAAATAGTCGGTAAAAATAAACAAAGATAGAGAAAACAGCTATTCAGTTGCCACGCGGTAATGTAATTTGCACTGAAAAACAGGAAACCAACTAACCAATACAAAAACTCTTTACGAAGAGCAATAAGCTTCTCTTCGGCAACGGGCATTGTTGCAGGATCATAAACATATCCTAGGAAAATGTAGTCCCATACAGCGTCTGTCATTTGGTCAGCTCTAAATAATAAAAAGCTAAGAGAGTTGGAGGACAAAATACATTTGAATTAATGAAATAAAGAAAATGATGGTCGTCTTGTCATCACAGAAACAAAGTGGGAATACCTTATCGCTGCTGGTCCTATGACGCTACCGTCAAGCGAGCCTTGCTGCAACAGATGAGCCACCGTATAATAGGCATTATAAATAGTGGAATCCGATAACGATTCAATCAAATATTGCGGGTCCCAAGGAAGTCTCGTTCCTGAAAAATAAGTACTCTTTGGAGTGTTGTTGAGAAAACTGACACATGAGCGCAACGAACGCCGAAGAGAACTGGTCCAACTAACCAAGTCCATAGCTCCTTGAACAAGCATGTTCATGCAACCAATCTATTGTGGCTTCGAAATTGCGACGTACCTATGATATTCAGCAGTAACTATGGAATGGCTCTAGAACAAGAGAGGGACACAACACTGAAAGGAGGGGAACTAATCAAACAAGGTTATTGACACCAGCGACGTGGTTTCACCTCATTTGATTTATCATGTGTCTGTCATAACTTTCATCTCGTTCCCCATCTTGCCCACTCTTCCAACAAATAGCAGGGTCCCACAATCTGTTGCACAAGTCGAGCTTTCCAAAGCCCGACCCCCGCCGCTTCCTTCCAGCTCGTGATGTTACTTCTTCTCAATAGTCATATCTAGAGGCCAACACCAAAATGTTGTGAAGTGGGTGTTCAGTTCCGTTACTTTGTGTATCGCAGCGTCGTAAAAATGAAACGAAGAAAACAGTAGCAAGAAAAGGCCGGTAGAATATATTACATTACATTAATCCTATAAGAAATCTTGTATGAAAGCATGGAATACATTTCTCATTATCCATGCAAAGGGGGTGTGAGCTTTTCAGACGCGGTGTTTAAATGTATTGCGCTATTGGGCCACACCATGAACACTGACCAGAGAGTATTCAGAGAGATTATGCGCTTTTAGAAACGGTTTCGCTGCATCTTGTAGGGGACCGAATAAACTGACAACAAAAAAGGTTTCGTTTTGTTTCTGGAATACAAAAAACGGGAAGAAAACATTTCTGAGAAAATGTCAATTTAGTTATTCTCTATGTCAGTTCTAACCGCAATACTGAGCAGCATAGAGGCCAGCTAGCATCAAGGTGGCTTTCCGGCAGCTGAGAATAAGCGTCAGCGACCTTGATTGGGGGCCATTAGTACGCCGCCACTTGAAGAGTTTTTCGTTATTTTTGCTTTCCGGAAATGCTAGCAAAAATGACCGCTTATTTCCGTGATCCAATGCTACGGCCCCTGCAGCAATCAGCGCGAACCGTTTCTACACACTACCTCTCAGAACACCTACAAGACCTTACCCGCCACAAAGCCACTAACCATTCTACCGACTATCCGCTAACAACCCACACGCGCCTACCCACACACCCACTGACACCCAAACAACCCCTTCTACCCCGCCAACACTACCCAACCTGAACCCGACCGACCAAAGCGTGCTATGCTATAGTAAAGAAAGTGAAAGAGTAGGGAAAGGGGAATAAAGGATATAAAAAGTGATTCGTTTCGCTATGCCATTAAAAAAAGCTTTATGGTAAGCCACAGCTATCTAATATTAGGTCATCCCATTTCAAACGTGCCGCTACATATAGAGGAATGGGCAGAAAAGCAAAGGGGATAGAGCAGCGGGCTACTATACCATTTGGAAGCTAGTACCTTAAGCTGTGTATCTGTGAAATGTTGGCGAACCTGCCCAGAAGAAGTTCTCGAGAAATTGAAAAGAAGCCGGCGAGTGATGAAAATCGGCGGCCGGTTTTTCAAATCAGGTATCATAACAGGAAAGTGCGCTGCTCAATTTCGAGTGTCGGCGTAGTTGTGTATAATGGTGGTTTCTGAAGAACAAGTTGAAAGTTTGGTCCAGGAGCCCCGAAGAAGGAAGAGAGGAAAAAATAATTTGCTGTTCCTGGATGGTCCCATAATGTTCATCCTGTACAAGGAAAAAGAGTGGATGAAGTCAGGCACTGAATATCTGATCACAGGACCTTTGTCGAGTTTCCCCGCGAGACTGACATCCCTGCTGCAATTACTGTACGTGTTATGACCGATAAACTGAGGATGGTCAAGGGGGTGTGCGCATGGGTCCTAATTTTCTTATAGAAGCACGAACTCAGTACCGATTCTGTACCTCAAGCAGTAATGTTCCCAGCATGAGATGTCACTCACAACTGTGAAAACGCACCCCGACCTCAGATGAAATATGGGTGGTCTTGGACCTCGAGCCGAAACTCACAATCGCCAATTTTGTATCAATGCAGATGAGAAGCCGCTTAAATTCTACCATGAGGAATTACGTAGGTGCAAGTGGATGATCATCACAGCGAAGGATTCCCACACTGTGGCTTTCAGGAGGCTCTATACAGAGAATAAAATCGTCGCTGTCGTTTTATATTACCTGTTCATTGGCCATCATATCGACAAATGGATGATACCACACAACTACAATAAGGCCACCGTTGCTCGTCATAGTGCCAGACCCCGAGTAACTGTATTGTAGGGCAGTGCTGGGACACAAGCAATACTGAGACCTTGGTTCAATCGCCGCATTCGCTCAACATGAAGCCGTTCGATTCCAACTAATCTGGTTAGTCGAGGGTACTCTCTGACGGCAAACGCTACAATGCTTTGTCATTTGCCGAAACTGGCATCAACAGCAACTTACCCACACTTGTTAAAAAATGGAAGGCAGGGGTCCAAAGGCTTTCGGGGCACTGAGCGGGTCATTGGTGAAGGGAGGATTTATTTGACCTAAGGCTAAAATATTACTTCTTTATCTATTCACCCCTTTGTTTATTCAAATGAAACCGGCGGCAGGTTTGAGTGGGATGACCTAATAGGTAGCCCCAAATCTACAGGGGGGCCAAAAAAGTCATTCCGGCCGAGTCACATATGGGCGAAGTTTTCGCAGCCCAGACAGAGGAAGTGGATATGAATACCAGGGCGGAAGATACCCAAGATCTTCCTCTATAAGCAGGAGCCGGCTGCCGCCATTCACCTTCATGTACACCAAAATATGAAGTCATCTCAGTCGCGGCCTGAGTGGAGAACGCCTTCGGAATTCACGTGCCTCCAAACAGCTGCAGAACTTCTTAAATGGAATCACCCATGGATAGCTACCTGGAGACCAGTACTCTTGATCTGCAAGACCTCAAACATCGAGCAGCTACGGCAACGTCGCTACGGTCCAGGACATCATCTTCACCCCATTCACCAAGGCGCGGGTTGATGGTGTGGACCGGCCGCACCTGGAATGGATGAACCGATATTTTCTTCGTGGGCCCCAGGCTGAGGGTGTGCGCTGGTGGCCACATCGAGCAACTCGAGGAGAATATCCCATCTTCATGTCGTCGCCCGTACCTTCTTCGAAAATTGTACTGCTACAGGATTGGGTGACAACATATTTAATCGAAGGGCGTTGGAAAAACTTTCGCCTTTGGAATGGAAGAACGTTGAGTACCTGGCAAAGATGTAGTATTTAAGCGGGAGTCCTGAACTAAACCTCCTCAATTACTCGGTTCGGGCGGAGCTCAACAGGGTGGTCTACAGTGGCGGAGAAATCAACGATCTCGCTCAACTCCGGTACCCACTCACTTTCGCGCGGCCGAATCTCTCGATGGCGCTCCTCCAGCAGGCTGTGGCGGAGTATAATTATAGTATTTAATGTGCTCTTTAATATGGTAGTAAAAGTGTCCGATAAAAATTTGATAAAGTGTAACTTATAGCGCCTTGAAAGTCATGGAGGCAAAATGACTTTTTTTTGGCCCCCCTGTATAGCAATTTATGATGCGAGATAAATATTTTCAATAAAAAAAACAGTTTAAGCGGGTTAATCAACCTCATCACTGTACGTATTCAGTTGAGCAAGCGCCTTCCTAGCTTCAGATTTCCACTGTGTATCTCCATAGTTGAGATACCTGGAAGCCGAAATATTTGTAAAGATGACAACTTCAAAGCATCAACCCCTTACAGAACTCATATCTTAAGTATAGCGGGTGGTATGACTGATGTAACTATGATAAGATGCTAAGCGACTGCAGAAAATCTCACCATTGGTCACAGAGAGCCACCACACATTCATCTCCACTTCGACTGATCACTTTCTTTTCAGGTTCAACATATCTGCAAGGATCCGCTATCAGTATTGAAATCTTTGGCACAAAAAAATGTTTTTAACGGTAATATGGTGCTCGCGATTATTCCAGTGAGCGAGCAACTCACTACCCAAGTGTTTATATTAATTTGAACGTCGCATTGGAAGTCATGGGTTGTCGACAACTTCTCTATAAACACTATATAACCATACTTTCTGGCGAGCCCTTCTTCAATCAAATCAGCTTGTATTAATTTCTTTACATCTGCCGTCCTTTGAGATGCATATTTCCCAACTATCATGACCTGAAGGAAGTGCAATAATGCTAACACGGAAGGTTTTCGATAAAAAAAATAACGTACACCATCGTAGAATCCTTTGAGGTACACTTCTTTTTTTGCTTCCTCCAGCTTATCTTTCTCATTCTGAGATTCAATCTTCAAGCGATGACACATCTCAACAGCTGCAAAGTTGCCTAATCCTTCAATCTCGATAATAGGCACCTGCAATGGGAACGAATTTCAGCTTATTCATCCCGTCGGTTGTATGCAGACCAGAAGCACTAGAAGAGTAATTCTACCCATACTCACGGGTTCGAAAGGGAGCACCATGTCGTCTGTTATTCCGTACTTCTCGCGCAGCGGTTTCTTCTTTTTCAGATCAGACAATGCTGCGAAATCATCCGGAGAGTCTGATGGCACTGACGTTACTACTCCGGTACCTAAGGAATGAAGACATGTGAGGGTGAAGGCTCACCATAAATTTATCTACCGAGACAGTTAATTTGAGAAATACTGTATAGCAAAAAACTGAAAAAGGACCTTTGTCATCTTTTATCGTGAGCATGGGAAGCGCATAGATTTTTGGATAGGATGCTAGAGGAGCCGACAGTGCAGCACCAAGAAGCTTGTTTCCCGATACCTTGAATGTCTGGTGCTGTTTTATCATATAAACGCCTCGACAAGCCTTCCAAACATAAACAAACCTTTTCGAGCCCTTCAACGTACCGTACCACGCCGTTTGAAGCGGTAAGACCTTGATAGGACATATTTCTCGCTGCCCTGAACCAGTAATATTTGTAAGCTTATATTTGCAGGTTAAATCTCCGTGCTGCTATTACGATATTGGTTAAAAGATAGCATAAGTGGACACGTGGGTCCATGTGGACATAAAACGAACCTAGCAGTGGCTATGAATACCATGTCCTCCTTTTCACCAGCATAGAATACAGAATACTGGATGTCTGGATGAAGATAGCAGTTGGTCTGACCGTACATAGTCTCTGGCCTCAACGTGGCTGCAACTAAATATACTGGCAGAGATATGTGAGCGAGCACAGTCGGCTTGGGATCCAGTATCTGAAAAGTGGTTGGTCGTAGACATATTCAACGAGGAGCACACTAAAACATTACAGTGAAAGAACTGTTGCACTGCCTGATGATCAGTATGAAACCTGGAGAATATGTAAACTGTTTTTGAAAACTTGCGGCGGAGACAGTAGCTTATTACCTTCAGCTGCACTAAAGTGTACTCTTGAGGACCAACACCTTCACCGCTAGAGCGATCATGATCCATGCAGGGTTGACCATCTTTTGGAGAGTATATGGTGTACCTGAAGGAGGAAGTGTATGAAATTTAAGCGAAATTTGAGAGTAACAACCTCAAAGTAATAACACCTTTTGCCAAAATCGATTTTATTCGCGGCGCGTAGCTTGCGAAACTGCCACTGGACGAACGAATCATAATATGGATTTACGTCTGTTGTTATGAAAGAACGGCGCCAATCAACCTAAAAGCTATGACTCTAGAAAAATTCGCTCATAAGCTCGCCCGAAATTCAAACTAATTTGAAGATTCACCTTGAGACCCATTTGTTTCAAGTCGGAAATGCAATAGGGAGGGAAGTAGTCTAACCAGTAATCAGTGTTGGCGAATTTTTTAATTTCTTCATCTGTGAGACCTAGAGAATGCATGATATGCCATTGATATTTGGACGAACCAGTTTTGGCCACAAGTTTACTCTGAAAATATGTTCAGTATAAAGCGTATGTATACACCAAACTGTCACAATGACAGAGTTCTAATGGCTACGTAACGCTGGCTTCATATATGTATCATGAGCAACTCAACTACCCTGAACTTTCTCAGCACGCGAGCTTCAGCTGGGCAAGCATGCTTCAAATTGAAGCTGTACTGGGGATTTAAAAGTCAAATTCTATTCATTTTTGATGAATTGTTCTACATGCTTTTCCTAAAAGAAAAATCATTTAAAAAATACACTGGCCTTTTTCCCTTTGCTCTTATCCTTGGTGATTTCGTCAAAGGAAGACACTTCATCCTTCAGTTCTTCTTCCTCTTCGAGCGGGAATCTGAAATACACTCCAAGTTGAGAAGCATCAGGTTAAGGACCAATGGAGGCTATGGAAATGTGCATTAAATTAAGTACAGCTGGATGAAGTACTGCAAACCACCTTCGCAGTCAGAGCACTTTGTATGTTTTTCGAAGATTAGGTGACCACGTCGAATTACATGATCAATCGACGATGCGGAAATCAAATTGTATATGCGTTCATACTATGTGACAAGCGTGTCAAGGTAGCGTGCGGCGCTCAATATTCACTCGCAGACAAAGAGAAACCTATCTTGAATGCATGAAGCAGTGACAGAAGCCACCAAAAAGAGCAGCATAAAGAGAAACGTCGCCCTGAGAAATTCAATTAAAGAAAATTCCGTAGACGTGAAGGCACGTGGGCGCCTATGTCCTGACAATTCTTACGGAGTATTTTTCCTAGCCGCGGATGTGTCATGGAGGCAGGCTGAAGATGATCTAGTACAAGAGCAGCCGAGTAACCCAGATAGTTACAGACTGTTGCTACCCGCACAACACAAACAAGTTCTGTCACTAGCTTATTTTATTTTCACTTTTCAGGGACCGTTTTTGAGTCTATTGCTCGAAGTATTATGGCCGATAGTAAGTCATTCAATTATCCCTCAATTGCATCCCGCCACCCTGCGATGACTTGGATGACAGTAACTAGGCTTGGAATTCACTGTAACTTAGAATAATCTCCTCATTTCATTATGACCTCCATTCACCTTTCAAAATGTACAAAGGAAAAGCCGCGTTTTTACACTCTTTACCCTTAGCCAGAGTAAGGCGTGCATTTGAACATGGCACGAGAACGAGTTACTCGTGGAATATTCCGGTTTGGGACCACAGTCACTTGTTCTGTGTTGGACCACAGAGACGACAACAATTGTGTCCAAAATGAAAATATCTCACCAGAAGCACAAACACTCTCAGGTTAAGCTGGAACCGTGCGGCCACGCCTACCCTGTCTCAGGGATTTCGAGTATAACTACAGTTGAGCCTTTCAAGCCAAGCTTAAACGTGACCATATAGAATCTACTGCTCCTGTCACGAGTGGCAACTCCATTTGCTAGAACAAAACATGGGCTCACTGTGGAGATATCCGAAGTCCTTCCATCTCCCGCTTCAGCTTGTCAGCACAAGCCTTTATAGGCATTCCTGTACAATGAAAGCCGAACGGAAACAAACATCTTTTCCCAATAAGTCGTTGATAACCCACAGCAAACTAAAATGAAATATGCTATTCAGATAAGAGCCACAAAAAAACTCTTTTGTTACCTCGCATTTAGAAAGTGTAAAAGTGTGACCAATATGGCGGGCGTCCATTCATGTACGGGTATGGGAAGTAGTTAAGTACTTCGGGAATCTCTACAATACTAACATGCCTCACCAAATAACCTATTAAAAGTCGTGCAAAAAAAACATCGAACTTGTTGTCAGCATCTATCTCGAACACTTTGTTTTCCTCCCATAACTTCTGAATTTCGGCTTCCTTCTCGAGAAGAACAGCAACCTTCTTACGCTCTTTCCCTGTGCCGGCCATTTAGCCTGTTGGTACCCTAAAAGACCTACGCTAGAGAAACTGTGTTCAAAAAGTTACCTCGAGCGGAGCCCACGAGAAAAAATAAGACGATGGATCAGACTGGCTGAAGGACCAGGAACAAAACATATTGTATACAAAAAGTGCACATTGTTGTTGGGGCGCGGAATTCACCTGGCTTTGAAGTCTATTATACTAAGACCAATTTTGTGCTTTATTTCCTTATTTAAGATGTTTACCACTTCCCTTGTCCCTCTCAATAGTAATCCACAGTGGATTCATTCCAGAGCATAGCACGTAAGCCATTTGAGTCCACTAATGCGGCCCCTCTCATCATTTAGGACTCTTAGGAGTTCAACACTCTTGTGGTTCGAAGTCGATTCTCACGAAATGCAACAACTCTTTCCACATTTTGCAGTGGCCTCACCCACGCTGGAATGGGATTAGGCCAAAATCCTCATATTTTTCTTTCTTACTCACAATCGTTTGTTCGCACCTTCGAACGTCTAATGCTATCCGAAATAAGAAAAAAAATCCGGCACTATTTACCCTTTACTGCCCTGCCATCCGAAATCACTCCAGGGGTAGTTCGACCTGCTGAACACGAATATCGCATCCTTGACTCCAAACCTCCTGGCGTCCGCGCCACGGGGCGCCGGCGCCAAAATACTAGAAATCACCGATTCGTTGAAAACTTGCTCCCAGGGGTAGTTTGACATCCTGGACACGAATATCACATACCCGAAACCTCCTGGCGCTCGCACCACGGGTACCGGCGCCAAAATACCAATCATTGGCGTCTGTGGTGCGGGCGCCAGGAAGTTTCGGGCTGAGCGTATGTGATATTCGTATACTAGAGGTCAAACTACCCCAGGAGACAACATTTGAGCAAAACCTGCCCACGGAGGAAAAAGTCGATCAGGAACTGGCCTGATTTCGGATGACTGGGGCAGTAAAGGGTAAATAGCGCCAAAAATCCTTAGAAAACGAAGTGGGAACGAGCGTTACAACTTTTCATAGCTTTAAAGGACCCCTTAAGCGGAATCGGCCAATACCCCACCCCAAAGCGCGTTTATAGTTTTAATCTTGCAAGCGCCTCAGGGGAGCGTAACTTTGCACAGGGTCACTTTGATTTGTTTAAATTTATCTACTATTACTGCTGATAACATGATCAATAACACAGAAGAGGACAAAGACAGCAGAGGTGCGAAAGAATGTACAAAAAATACTACTAAAATTAGTGCTGATATATAGCTACAGATACAGCGCAAGACAGAGAAAAGTTAGGCAGGATGTTATTTATAAATGGTTACGGGGCAGATGTCAACCGAAATTTCTCTAGCTATGAGAATTAGACGACGAGGCGGTTATGACGTGTGCCGGCCGTCGCCGGGATATGGGCGTGTACGCTCGTCGTCTGTCCTCTCCTGCAAGGCTCTCTCGTAGGAAGAAGACACGTGAAGTGATTTCAGCCACGAGAGGTTAAGACTGAATGAGAACACCTTGAGGGTTCACTCTTCGTCCCTTATTTTGTGTCAGTGGCGACTGGAGTGTGAATTTTAAGGTTAACGGGCTTTAAAGGTGAGATGGAAAGGTGGACGGCTTGAATAACAGAATGATAGCTCGCCACGAAAACTCGGCAGAGTGTTTAGGTCGGTAGTTCCACCCAGGTTATGAGATAAGATAAAAGATAAAGTCTATCGCCGTTCAAAGCAACCCATCCGTGATTTGCGGCACCGCATTCTGTATCCATTCAGAGTCGCAGTGGCCATTGAATGCGATGTGCCTATAACACATACTTGCCGGGGTCAGCCGATGTACAAGTCAGTGTTATTATCCTCTCAAACGAAACTCCTACCAATTATGGGAAGGGTAGAACAGGCTTGGTTGCCTGAGCGGGAAATCGACGCGGAATTGACGAAGTCGACCAGGGATTCGACTCAGGACCGCGCGAGTGTGAGCGCGTCCTGATTGGAACCCGCTGGTGGACTTCGGTCGGTGTGAAATACAGTTCACTGAACTTCGACAGATTCAAGTGAAACCCGCACTCTCGTGGGTCCCTCGCCACCACGAGAGATTGGCAAAGATTTTTAGATCTCTGAGCTAGAAACTGGGCTCCATTAATTGTACTAATCCGACTTAATATATAAAAGTTCTTGATAAACTTCAGTGGTTTATCAATTGCATGGCAGAACCAAAAAGTCTTAGTTTAACAGATCACCAAAACCCTTCCATTCCCTCCCAGCTTTTGAACAAGTGGACAAATGCGCTGCTTTTCCGTTGCTCTTGGATCTTAAAGATGAATGGCATGGTAATGGTTGGTGATTCCTCCAATTATTTTTCAGCAAACACCAATTCCACCTCAATGTAATAGAAGCAAGCGAGAAGGGAGTTCGTTCTTACAGTCAAGATCTTCTCGGTAATCCCTATTTTCTTAACGAACCAGTAGCATCAGAGAGCAGGGTACAGCATGGGGATAGGCGAAATGTCGGTGAGAGTACGACCCCCCCCCTCCTGATGGGGTACAGGCCACGACCCCCCCCCCTTCAACACCTTCTTCGCCAGTCGCCGAGCCATAAATATATAGTCGGCGAAAAGTTGTCGAGCGGGGGGGGGGTATAACTATGAAGGGTTATATAGCTTTATGGGGTGGTCTCGTTGTAGCTTTACGGGGTGATCTCGTTGTAGTTGCGATGGAATACAATGTAGTTGAGACGGGGTGGTCTCTAGGTAGTCCGAGACGGGGTGGTCTCGGTGGTGGACATGGCAGAATGCTAACTTAATCTAGGCGTGCCTCTCAATACAGCAGAGAGGTCACACATCGAGTATCTATTTACCTATGGGTCATAATCACATGTCTCAATGTTCCCTATGGGTTGTACATATCAATCACTCAGTCTTAAAAGGATGCACCGGTAGGTTCTGGTGGGAATCCAGAACATATACAATAATTATGCAACGTATATCCGGCGGGTGTACAGGGTGCATATAATGCATATAAAACAAAAATTAATACGACCCCCCACTTTTCCACAACCTAAAATCAACTATCAAAATAAATTTGTCTCCAACAAATACGACCCGCTATGCCCTGTCAGAGAGTGACCAGTCACGAGCGACGCACGCGACAATCATGTGAATTGGTGGTTGCGGCGATAGACACCCCTTCTGTCTGCGCTCAAGCCTCTCTAAGCGGAGACGCAGCGTCGACGAGGGTGTGCGAGACGACCGACGACGCGACAAATTGCTGAGTCACCCATTGCCGCGATTGACAAAAGCCCGTAGACCTTTATAAATACCACCAATCATGCAATTGTGTACTCGCTGCTGCTACCGTAATACCCGCCTAAAGGGAATTCACAGCTGCTGCTGCTGCGCCAACTGTAACTTGCGATCCGCAGCCTAGGCTCATGTCTTTTTTTAAAAGGAGGAACTATGCATCGCAAGCCCTCAGGATTCCTGAAATGCAAAATCACTCGTACAGTATGACCCGCTACAAAGAAGTGTTCATACGGCGTCGGTCCTTGGAAAACGCGAGGAATTTTCGGTGGAAGCGAATTTTTGATTTTTCATGGGCATGGGTTGGTTCAGGCATAACTTACCATTAGACCACAGAACCAGACGAATTTGAAAAATAAAAATTCTCTTCTTCCTAATGAGTACAATATGTATCTTGGGCCTACTATACAAAAATCACTCGACGCGGATTTGATCCGAGGGTTTACTATAGCTGCAACAAGAAAGTCTCTCGATTACATGAGCCACACTTCTATCCAGAAATCGCTTAATATGAATAAAACTTGAAGCTTCAAGTCAAACCGCTCTATGTAACGTGCGACTTGTATTCATCTTCAGTCCAGATCGCAGAGACATAGAAATATGAACCTGTGGACGAGCTTCAAGAAGGACAGCCGTATCGCACAACTAATGGTTCCCTTGTTACTCTGAATAACTTCACTTTCTGCTGTGAGGCGGTTTCTTTTCCACTACATCAATTTATCATAAATTTGCAGCCAGACTGAATACGACTAGACGGCGAGACAAGAAAACAGTGCTTCTCTTATCGCTGCTGCAATTCTTTCCCTAAGTTGCGCTACGCTATGTACTGTGTTTATGTTTGCGTTTTGTTGTTTGTTTTTAGTAAATGTTGTGTAATGTTGTGTTTGAACAGGTCCAATATACAGGAAGACCAACAGAGTAAGAATCTGAAGAAAGAATGGTATCTTATCGGATCTGGCAGCACACTATCTTATATGAGCTTTGACGTATCTTATCTAACTAGGCTTAGGCATGATATAGATTAGAGTAAGGTTCAGTTGCTTCGTCTATTGCTCTATTAGCAAGTCGTCGGATAAAGCGTGAAGCTCAGTCAGTCTCAACACACTGCGGATCAACTTTATGGTGCATCGGCCGGCACGAAAGGACACTGGTACGCCTTTACTTACTTTCAGAGCAACTTCGGCGCAGCGCCTAGGTAGAGGTTGGCGACGAGTTGCGTAAACGAAACCTCTCAGGTAGATCGACGGCGCAGAAGCAACAATTTTTCCTCAACACTTCGTTTTCCTTTCATATTCGCCTTCCTTTGCTTTGCAATAGATGGTTCCCATAACAAGGTCTGTAACTTTGAAGTCTCAGAAATCACTGTTAACGCGATACAGTAATACCTTGGAACGTATCCTGAAAGAGAATGAAAATATCATAAAGGCGGACCCAGACAATGGTATGTCCAAGCAGATAACAACCCTGGAGTTCCAACTTAAGGGTCACACGAAACTGCTTGTTGGGG